ATTGTTTTTATCCACAATTCTGCAGATTCAGGGGAAGATAATTCAGACTTAATGAAGATGATCAGGAGTATAAAGAAGAAGAGTCTTTGGAATTGGAGTCAAAAAAATATATAGTATACGCACGTGTATAACAACTATTTTAGCACCCAAAAGAAATTACATCCTGATCATACTATGTATACATGGAAATAAGGAGAAAAAGTCTATGGTAAAATGATTCAGAACGATATACTGCTATCTCGAGAGTTGAAACAACGAACTTCTAATACTTCTCCGACGGACATGTTTGAATATTTCATCTCTTATTCGATCAAGAAGCTTATAATTGATACTATTAAAGCTTACGGTCTTGAAATCGGTCAGTGTGAATTGGAAACTTTCATTGGAATACTAATTCTATCTTCATTCAATATAAGATCAGATCAAAAAGAATATTGGTCTGAAAACCCGATACTCAGATGTGAAATTGCCTCCTCTGTAATGAGTTGAAGTAAATTTTTCAGCATAAAATCTAAAATAAACTATTCAACATCTGCTGAACAAAATTATACTGATAAAGCTTGGAAAGTTCGTCAGATTCTAAATTTATTTAGACAAAATATTTGGATTTTTTTATACTGTTCTAGCAGTTTATGAAATGATGGCAAAGTTTTTTTGTAGGAATAAACCTACAAGGTTTGGGCTGAAATTCTGGGCTCTATGCTCCGAAGTGGATTTTTGTTTGATACATACTCACATATACGCATGAATGTGTTAGGGCAATTGATCAAAATTAAGACTACGTAAGGAGCGTGACGCCACGGGCGTGAGGTATTTATTGTTTACTATACAAAATTAATAATTGAGAGTTTTTCAAACGAACAAAATTATTTTTGAAGTCAATTTCAATACAATAATCTCGAATATAAAGTTTTTATGGTCATTTAATACGTACTTGTTAACTTAATTTAATTTTCAATTAATTTTACAATAAATAAATATCATCCGAATTTGAAAATACAACAGCAATTCCAATACTTTTAGAAAGAGAAGCAAGAATTTGACACTTTGATAACTGATTTTTAACAGAGTAATCAATAAATAAAAAATTTATAATTTATTTAAACATTTAAAATTGTATTGTGAGATAGTGATTCAACTGTACATACATGTAAAATTACTGAAAACTATTGTTATTTGATTGTGTAATGCGGTACATTACAAGGCTTTGCTTGAGAGTGTTGTATTATTTGCAACACCTTGAAGAGCGGTACAGATTAAACCAGAGCGAGCGAAACAGACTAAGCGAGAACGAACGAGACAGGCCATATGAAGCAAGCGAACTAAAATAAATATTATACTGATTCAAATGCAAATGCGATGATGAGGGCGCTACGAAAATATGACCGACTTACAAATAATTTAGCGATGCGACTTATACATGGAACATATTAAAATATAAAATTAGAAATACTTGTATGCGGTCGCTATAATCCCTTAAATGTATTAATAAGCGACAAGCAATTTGACGAATTAAATTAATAAATTGATTGATGAAATTCAAAACTCTGACGAAACTCGCTGGTGACGTCACGACCAATAAGCGAATTAGAATAAAATTTGATTTCCGTCCACATCGAAAAATACATAAGAGTAGGGGTAGATATTTGTCATCAATCAATGCTAGCCGACTTAATGGGGGGTGAGAGAGGGTAAATAGCGACGAAAGTAGGAGATGAAATGAGGGCGCTGTACTTTTCTAATTTACATACTGACCAATGACGAAATATTCGGAGGGCGCTACCGATATCCGAATTAGCATATCAACCAGTAATAGGATTTCTTTTCGGAAAGAGGAGAGGAAAGATATCTTTGACCGCGAAAAGACGTTTTTCGTCTATTTTGCTGCTGATCGCTAGATTGGAAGGAAGCAAATTCTACTAAATTCGCTGTCATAGTTTCGTTTGTCGAGTTCTTCAGCACAAATCTCTAAGTAGGGAAAGTGCCACTTACTAATATTAATTGTGAAGTGCGGTGCATGATTTTTCTCGTGCAAATAATATCGTCACGACGCGTGGATCCGTCGGATAGTGCTTCGACAGAGTCGCGCTGACCATCAGCCATTTTCCGAATCATCGTGAGTGATAGGATCAAAAAGAAAAGGAATTTAGATAGTGAGATAGTAAATTACAGTTACGAATTCGGGGATCGAGAGTGTTAGACCGTCGCAAATTTTATTAGCCAGGACGTGTGGATCTGTTCCGCCGCGCATTGAGTCGCGTGAAGTCGCGTGAAGTCGCGCTGACCATCCGCCATTCCGACCGTAATTGTACTTGTATTTCAGAATAAAGGAAAGTCAAGTGTGATCGATTTTCTTAATTTTACGCCTCGTTAACCCTTCCTTCCCTGCATGCTGATATTATTTTCAGCCGCGGACGGTTAATAACGAGAATTCTTTGTTCGCAATTTCTGGTTTAGAAACTAGGTAACTTACACGCGAAATCGAACGAATCTCCGATCCGAGACGAGGAGTCCTATCTTGAGCTGCTGGCACTTCAAGGACGCGAGAGGACGGATACGAAATCGACAATTGTTGAGCACCATTGACCTGATACCAGAAAAATCGCTGTGACGACGTCAATCTGCCCACTCTGTTTTATATTTTGACTACTATTTGTATTTTGACAATTGTTTTACCAGCCCAGACTTGGTTTTGTATTTGAAAAGATATGGCTTACAATCAACTGGAACAAAATGTAAAGATCGAATCAGCAATAGATATGCATTTCACAAGAATGCTGAAAGAGGCTCATATCAAGTACACCATGATGAGTCTTTTGGTATAAATCATATTACTATAGTTGATTCAAAAACAGTGTAACTGTTATTATCTGCTGCTCGTGCACATCTATTCCCTCCATTACAAAGATATTCAAAAGAAACACAAAAGAAAGTCCTAATCATATTCCCTCATGTAGATATAGTTTACAATAAGTTTATGAGTGGGGTTAATGCTCACGAATATAAATGTGGCACAGTTTTTCAAAATATTGTATCCAAAAAATGGATTTGAGTTGTTTTTTTGCGTATTATTGAAGGATCAACTATTAATATCGCAGTACTGTAAAATCACTGTCGTGAAAATCGTAATCGTATGAGCACAAAGGAATTCGATATTGAAATTAGCAACGTTTTCTTGAAAAGGTACGAAATCAGTAACCTAGATGAGTATGAAAGTATGTCTAAAAAAAGACAAACTTGTTCTGAAAAAAAATGTAAGATGCGAACAAAAAATTGTATGTCAACTATGACTTATATTATTGTAAACCTTGTTTTGACAGCAAACATAAAATACAGAAATAAAATGTGTATTGAAAACAGAAAGTTATAGAGAAATCAAATAAAAATATGAAACTATCTTAAATGTAGAATAAAATAAACAAAATTATGAACGAGAAAAAAATCATAAAAAAATACAAAAAAAAATCAAGAATATTAAATGACTCTACTTCACTGCCGACCTCCACGATGGTGAGAGTTGGGTAACACGTATATGCGGCAAAGGGGTAGTATACATGAGATGGGAATTGATTAGATTTACAATAAATTTATACTTGGAGTTAGATATGAAGCTCGGCTATCAGACAAATATGTAGAGTTATCAATCATATATTTTTGATGAACGTGAATGAGATATTCATGTTTATTCGTGTTCTACGAAATAGAAAAAATTATCTTTTAATACAACAATTAAGTGAGTTATAAACTCACGGGACTCAATTATAAACCTCCCTAATAATTAAAACTTCTCAAAATTTGGAATAAACGACGAAATTAGATCTAAAACTTGTTTTTCAATAATAAATGAGAAATTTTTAAGTTAAGATACTGTATTTTCTTCATCGAATCTTCAAAGTCATTAGTCACTATTAGAAATAAATCACAACTACAAAATTTCCAAACTAATTCTTCAACGTTTCGCCATTTTGTTCATGGCCTCTTCAGGAATAAATTTCAAAACGCTCTCTAAACATTGTTAAAATAAATTTTCTTTCAGTGAAACTGAAATTGTCAACTGTGAAAATTATAGTCAATTATGTGTATCACAATGCATGATTTAGAAAGGACTGCAAACTTGACAAAAGTAGTGAAAAAATGGAATGTTTCCCGGAAACGGTGCCATTTTCAGTCCCTCATTAGAAATTTAGGGTAAAAAAGCAACGCGTTATTTGAATATATACTAACGTGTAATGAAGTACATGCTTTTGGAGTCCTAGAAGAGTTTTATTTAAATATAAATTCTCTTTTAAGCAAAAAAAGGCATATTTTGAGAAAATAGCGCCATCTTGGATCCGCCATTTTGTATTTGTGAAAATAAACGGTGGCTTTTTCTAGTACAGACCTGTATACCATCGTAAAAACTACTTTGCAAATTAGGAAAATTTTTTTTCGAGAGTTACAGCTTCTCAAAGTTAAAAAAAATTAGCCATTTTGCATTTTTTTTGTGAAAATTAGACAGTACTTCAAAATAGCGACTTCTTATGTAAAAACTGATGTCAGATTCTGAAGAAGCATACCCGAAAACCTAGGAATACCATATTTCGTTAAAATCGAAGGAGTGTTTCAATATTATTTTAAAGTCTAAAAAAATGTAAATTTTATGCCAGTTTGGTACAAAACGGCTTAATAAATTTAATTATTTATGGATTAATCGTATCGAATTCTCTCTATGAAGAATTCACTTAATTTAGCTCTAACACGCGTATTCGTGCGTTAGTAATAAAATCGTCTGTTTTCAACAATTAAAGCTGTAGTTCACGGGCAAAAAGACAAGAAAGAAGTACAATTTTTTAATTCACTGCTGTCCGAGTAGGTTTGTGAGAACTGCTTATCATGCGTACATGAGATTACTGTTTGGATAACAATGTCCTAGATACTAGTAGAACTTACAGAAAAATCAGGAATATTTACAAAATCAATATAAAAATTAAATAGATTTTATAATATGTAAAGGATTATACCTTCTTTATTCTCCGGTGAAATACACCGCAAAATGATAGCGTCTCCATCAGAAATGCCGTAATCTCGAAGTGACGTTTTATAGTCGAACAGCTGATGACCATTGAATAATACAGAAATTTCATGAAAAGGTATACCAGTTTCAATTGCACAAAAAGCTATGAAATTTTCCAACTCTAGATCTTCGCTAACATCCAAGATAAAAATTTGATTTTTTGTTGTGGTGATTGTTACCTTCATCCTAAAAAATTGAAACCGTGAAGAAATTAAAATATACGAAAACATCATAGTATAAAATATTTTTATGTTTATAGAAATCCTAAAAATGACGACAAAGTAGATTATGACTAAAAATTCAATTTTTCTTTTATTTTTAAATGTTGAACCGTCAAACTTCATAGAATTATCACTCTTATCCTTCAGTGGTTCTTTCCGATTTGAGAAAAGCTTTTTTCGTCGCGGAGATATCATTGAATCCTCCTTTAAAAAAGTGCTACTAATTTGAGTGAAGCTAATTTATTTGTGATCTGAATGGTGGTGACGTAGTATATGATGGCTACTTACTTTTGTGTAAGTGTAAAAAACAATTAATTGATATGACAGACTTCATGCATCTAAATCTATAGGAGATTTTAATTGACGTGCAAATTTGTTGTGACAAAAATTCAGTAACATCGTACTAAGAAATCCATTGAATATTTTGGAGAGGTAAGTATTTTATTTATTAATACGTCTATATTTTTATTGATTACATATTTTATTATCCTTTAATAAACTTAGATTTTTTTCTTAAATTATAATAATGGAGGTTTTGTTTACCACGTGTTTTCAATTCGCTGACATTATTGTTTAATCGTTACAGACATGCAAATTGATTTTTTGTTCGTATTTTCATACGTCTATATTATTTTTGATTATATATTTTATTATCCTTTAGTAAACTTTGATTGATTTCTTAAATTATAAAAATAAAAAACGGAGGTTATGTTTACCATGTATTCGCAATTCGCTGGCATTATTATTCAACCGTCACAGACATGTAAGTTCATTTTTTGTTCATATTTTAGATTATTTTTTCGGTCTACAAAATGAATGCCGAGAATAATCCTCTCAAAAATCAGAATGTTATTATTTTCTCTGAGGACGAAGCTTTTATGGAACTTATAGACAAGGATAAAATTACGAAGCAGAATTAAAAGTGAATAGACTAAGTATAAAATTTACAAAATGTATCATTTTAGTTATAAATGAAGGTTGTATGGTAAAATCATACATTATTATTATTTTGTAAAAATATTGAACATCACTGCAGGGTTGACAAAGACAGTAAAATCTTCGTTCACCAAGGACAATGAGGGCTTCGCACCTTATGAAATCGTAATTGTTAAAAGCACGAATGTGGAATACTTGGGCTTCTACGATACAGTAACCGATGTTATTAGAAATTAAATATTTGAAGTAGACTTCGATTCTACTGCTGATCATGCGAGTAGTTTAGTATGTGAGTATCGGACATTATAACATATATATTTTATGAATTTTATTGTCATATCAATTCATTAAAAAAACTTATTTTATCATATTATTTAATTAAAAAACTACAACATGTAATTTGAAAACATTTTTCATATCAAAAAATAACTGAATAAACTTTGTTAATATTATACTAGCAATCTTTGGATATTTGAAGCAAACATTGAGAATGGTTGAAAGTCGTTATGGCAATATGAGCTACGTCAGCACAGCCATAATAAATGGATCTATTAAAATTAATGTTGAGATTACTAATTACGTTTCTACAAATATTGAATTTGGAACTTTTGTCAAAGTGATTGGTTAACTGGTTGACTGTGGTATGTAACGTTCAAATTATGTAGCCGTGTTGATATTTCCCAACTACTAAAATAAGTTTTCTTTCAATGAAATAAATCTAATATTTTTTCTAGATCAGCTGACCACTATTGCTTGTAAAGACATAAATGGGATTATTCACGATAATAATATTCCAAGAATGTCAGTCGCAGAGATGTCGAAAGCAAGAAAATTCCTAAAATGTAAAAGATTCACTTGAAATTCGAGTATTTGACTTTATTTATATAATTTTAGGTTTTTATTCCTTATAACATTTTCAAGTTTCATCATCATGTTTTTTATTTAAAGTTTACTAATGAAGTTCATAAAGTTTACTAATATAATTAGTCATTTCAGGTTTTGTAACGGGGGACGTTATCTGAAAAATGGAAAATTTATTTAAGAACAAACTCCCACGATGCAGAGCAAACCGCTGCTCCGTTAAACACGTATGATAGTACGTGTATTCGCCTTAACGTCAGACGATTTATCCTTGTTGTCTTGTATCAAACGGAGTTGAACTCACCTTAAGTCACGTGTCTTGTGACACTCGATGAGTTTTAAGTGTGAGCGACTTTACTCCTAATATTTTTAATCCCCTAGAGGTAATCAGATTAAAACCTAAGCCTTTTCCAATTACTTAAGCTACTAGGAAAATTAAATGACGAAAACGGCGAATAAATTTAACAGACTTTAATTAATAAAAATCACTACAGTCTTTGTAGGGCCGAAAGACTAATGCACGCGAATAGGATTTTACAATTAACTATGTTCGGTGAGAAGGAGAGAGAGGGAAGATTCGAATTCTACCGCGAACTAACGCTCGACGCAAATACAAAAAATAACGCTAACACGATTAGACAAAATACCGAATGTATTTTGTATCGCATATAATGACGGAAGGTGCACCTACCATGCGGTGCAATTACGGTGATCAGCCGTAATTGTTGATGCGAAATATCAACTGCTGCTGCCCCTCAATTAATCAGCTGCGCTGCCTCGATCTGCCTTTATCTGCTGCAATCTGCTGCTTCTGCACCGCTGCTTGCTGCTGCAATACTGTCGTTCCACACACGCACGTAATTGTCCCAAGGAAACTAAATTTTGGCGAAACTAAGTACGACACAAATTGGTGGTAAACTCGTGTGAGCAGCTGAGGCGTAACTGCTTATTCAAAATATCGCGCGCCCCCTCTCTCTCTTAATTGTTAGAACTAACGCGCGAGAAGCAGAATCGCGAACGGTTCGATTAATTAAATCGACTACCGTTGCAGTTTCTATATAAATAAGAAAAAAAAATTCGGATTTCTTACATTACTCATCTCAAACGTTTTATAAAATAAAAAACCATAGTTTCGTTGATACAGCTATTAAAAAACTGAATTTAGATGTTTGTGAAAATTCTTGAATAGATTTAGATTTTTGAAGTATTATAGTCTTAAGGTTTGATAGATCTGTATTAATGTGTTGGATAGTTTAGATTTTTCATCGTGTTCCTATGTATAAATAATAATATATAAATAAGTTATTTATAAAAATGATAAGTATGATACGTATGAATTCGCAAGACTATAATATTTAGAGAAAACTAACATTTAATGTTCGTTGTAGTTTTCAAATAACGCAAATTTGATATTTATCCATTTAAAAATAGTTAATTTAATTAAAAAGATTATTAATTAAAAAGATTGAGAAGAAGATACACTGCCCGTCAATCACTTTTACCATGCTTACCTCAAAATTAGGCAAACTTAAAAGTTTTGTATCTCGGTCGGAAATTATCGTATCACAAAAAACCGCAGGGCATTTTAAAGATAATTGCAAAAGCTTCCATTTAAGACGTGCAGAGACTTAAAAATGAAAATATGTGTTTTTTACAGTAAAAAACTAATTAAAAAAATTTCAATTTTTTTAACCTCGACTTAAATCAATGCCAATTTAGAACCAGGCGGTGGAGGGCAAGTCGACCTAAGGGGTTCGGAGGGTAATGTCATTCCCTTTATAATGAGCTTCCGCGGGGTTCTATCCAATGTTTTTTAACCGAGTTACGGCGTTTTTTGTAAAAAGCAACCTTCTTTTTCCAATCCTCAATTACTTCGACTTGCGTCCGTTTTGGAAAAAAATGCCAAAGAGAAAAAAGTTTCATTTTGTGTCCAAGAATACGAAAATAAAGTTAAAATAAAGAAGGCCCAAGACACTGGCCACGCTTGGCGGTGCTGCGTGCCGCCGATTAGGTAAGTGAGTGGTGGAGAGGGCGTGAGAAGCAGTCTCTCACGCATTATTGCATCGTCTCTCATTAAGCATTAAGGAAATAACCTTGCGAGCGAGAGGATACCAGCTTGACGCACCGCCGCAGTATTTTTGAGAGCGGCCTTTGTCCATCAGTCACGCCATATCTGAGGCAGTCACCAGCCGGCAGAAAAGAAGATCAACATGCCAGCCCAGCGGACTTCGCCAATCACACAGGTCATCCTCTCTCCTCTCGTTTCTCTTTATTAATCGGTTTAACCCTTTTGGCTATTCGCGACTTGTGCGCTGTGCCAGGCTCTCGCGGGCCGGTATAGCTGAATTAGTGATAAAGTTTCCTTTTAAAATTGTGTACAAAATCGGTATGAGATGGCAAGGCGCTCACGTGCCGGCTATCTCATTTAGTTGATAAGAAGTTATTGTGTATTAGGTTAAGATTTGATAAACTTTTCTGTTCGTCATCGCTCGAGGTAGCGATTTTATAATAAATATAATTCGTTGGTAAAAGGTGAGAGTAGTTATTGCGATCGCCTTTCCTCTTCTGCCTTGCTGAGAGCGATATACCGCCTGCCTTACCTCCTCCTTAAATAATTAGGTGATAGCGGGAAAGAATTGCCGACCAAAGACGGCCGACGCTATTACAAAATATATATAGTATATTAATTTTTATAGAGTGGGTTTCGACGCGTGGAAGAGAGTAGACGTGTCTTGACTGTGAGTGCGAGTTTTGGTAAGAAAGATTGAGAGGAAAAGTGTTTGAGGAGAGAGATAGATGTGAAAAGAGCGTGGACGAGGAAGAGAAGTGGAGTAGAGAGAGAGAGAGAGAGAGAGAGAGAGAAAGAGAGAGGCCTGGAGAAGAGCAGGAAAGAGCAGAGAGAGGAATAAAGAAAAAAAGAAAAGTTGAGGTTAAAAGAGAAAATCAAAAAACGGAAAAGGCAAGCAGAGAGGAGGGGCGGTAAGAAGTAAAGGCGGAGACAGAAAAGGTAAGACAGGGAATAAAGGTGAGATCACGAGTAGAAGTAGAGAGACGAATTATGGCGTACGGGATAGTGATGGAAAGATTTGTGACAACAGAAAAATTAAGAGATAAAGGTGGAAGAATGGATAAAAAAGGTACAAGGAGGAAAAGAAGAAAAGAGTAAAG